TTTCCAATTTTTTGGCAAAGTGTGCAAATTCAGCAATTCTTCATAATCCGTACTTCTCGATCCTTCTCTTTCCCCCTCCAAGCCCATACGTATAATGTCCTCATACGTTCTCGATTTCAGGCCTCTTTAACTCAGAGTAAACAAAGAGCCTCTATAAACATAACTGAAAGCTCAGGTGGCCATCACATGTTTTGGGAGACCCACAATCTCTGACGTTTACTAACCCCAAAATCCCCACGATGAAGCTTAAGAAATATTTTTCGTTCCCTTTTGTTTGCAAAAAGTATATTTCAACAAAACAGGTCAACATTTAGTCTTAAATTAACTGAGATATAAAATAGCTATAAAAAGGACCTACATATTAACCACATGAAAATTAAAATGCAATAAGAACATGATATTTCAAGCCTCAAATCTGGGACAATTACAGAATTGTGCCCGCCGAGAAAAAAATCCGAGAGGACAGCACGTGGCCGGCATTTGCCTGTTTACTGATTCTTTAGTGTAAAAGACAAATTTCACACCCAAAATATACTCTACATCTTGCTCAGGTGTTTGGAACAATCTTGATGTTGGCAACAATGTCCGCCTTCTCGGGTCTCTATGGTATCATGATGTGCGTGGCGTGCAGTCAGCTGGAGAAGCTGAGGGCAGCTCTCCTGGACATCAAACAGGAGACCTCAGAGCACGAGGAAACGTTCAGTCGCATGCAGGATCAGCTCAATGCCTGCATACGTCATCACCAGGAGATAAAAAGGTGAGCATCTGGAACTCAGTGCGTTATGAAAGTCTTCCTGCATGTATCCTCTTGATTGTCAACGAAAATCTCCATCATTTAGAGCTGGAAGGAAGTTGAAAAATTCAGATGACTTGGTGATTCGAGGAAAGATAATTTATGCGTATTTTTTTTACAGTAGTGTCAACATAAATCTCACGCGGAATTTTCCAATTAGCAACTATCAATGCACGTGGTAAAGACAATTAGAAATCCTATCATATATCGAGCAGGTAGTCGCTTGTCGTTTCGAATAGTAAATGAGACACGAAAAGAAATCACAAACTCCGAACGGAAAGAAGTCCTAAATCTGTTCCGTTCTCGTCCACAGGTTCATGCAGACACTTGAAGACGTGTACAGTCCCTGTTTCTGTGGCCTGTTCCTCATCTCTCTTATCACCTTCTGCTTCTTCGCCTTCTCCACAGTCTTGGTACAGTACTGTTCTCATAATTGCAAAATCCAAATGCAGAAAATTATAAACGAGAAACAAGTTTGCGGGAAAGATGAAAGCAAACATCGGAGGATAAAACAATGTCTGTAAAAAATATAAATATTTCTAGAAGCGTCTTGTGGTGTTGAGATTTAGAATTAGTGAAGATTTTCTTCCACAACCCCGTGGTGTGGTACTTACGAGGACAGGTTCGCTTCTGTGAGGCGTAAGGTTTTGACAACGACGAAGATGTCAATGTGGACTTCCGGATTGTGAATCCCTGTGGACCTGCAGTTGAGAACCAACGATTCGCGGTAACACTGATCCAAACTATAGGTCCACACGGCGTTACAGCAGAGAAGACCACCATCGACGACTTGTTTTTGCATTTGCATAACAGTCCAGCTGATTGCTTTAGAAATTGCCGCTTGTTCAGTTTACCAAAAATCCCCGACTTTGATGGAACCCGAATTTCAAATTCAGTGTTGAAAGAGCTGAAAATTACACTAAGGGTTCAGGGGACTAGATTATTTTCAGTAATTTTCATAAGTACATACTGAGGCAAGGAACAGAAATGAGTCTAAAATAAATGCATTCTCTCTATATAAAAAATTTAAACATGATATTTATATCCGTAATATTACCAGATTGTCGTATTTTTACGCGTGCAGAGTTGGGGGAATCCTGGAGACGTAATACAGGGTCTGGCGGCCTATTCGCTCCTATTCGCATGCGTGTTCATATTCTGCAGGCTGGGAACTGAGTTGACTGCGCAGGTAAGTTCACGTCTTCTTACCAGTAAATCTTACGTGCATATAAACGCAAATTCAAAAGAATAAATTCGATTTCGAATGTTCCAGGCGGAGAGTGTGGGCGATTCGGCTTGGGGATGCGACTGGGTTGGCACTCCTGTACAATTCCAGCGCTGCCTGGCCTTCGTCATTGCAACAGCTCAAAAGGAGTTCACACTCACAGCTGGAAAATTTGTTCCCGTTTCCAACACCACGATGATGAACGTACGGTTATTTTAAGTATGATTAAGTTTAGAACTCATAAACGGGGAATATGAACAGAGATTTTGATGTATTAGTGACACTGTTATCATATCACGAAACGACGCCATATTTTGCCGCAAAGAACTTCGGAATGGCATCGGACACGATGTTAGAAAACCGACGTTAAACAACGCTGTTCCATCCGTCATGACGCCAACAAAAGACGCCATATTAGAGCAGCTGAGCCTCAAGATGCCAGTGGGAATTGTGGTCGAGAAAAAACGACGTACGCCCCAAAACCCAAAACGAAGACGCCGACTTTTATATGCAAATTAACTCACCTGAAGCGTCGAAACGCAAAGCGCCACGATTCTGGAACACGAAACGATGAACATAGAGAAGGTGAGCATCGGGAATCTTAAAGTACAGGGAATCATTTACCGAGTTTAGGCCGAGGACCGAGACGTGAATAATAGCAAACATACCGAAAACGAAAAAAATAATAACCTCATATAACATCATGTAATACAAACCAACTTAACCTAACTAAACAAAACTAAACTTAAGATACTTAACGGAACCCAACTTAACATAATCTCACCTCGCCTAACCAAAACTTAGCGCAAGTCGACGAAATCGTTCACGTCGAAACAAGTCACCCGAGCCTCAGAAGTCGCTCAGGTCGACCTGCAGCATCAGTCCGCACCACAAAGAAAACACCACACTTCAACAACACTAAGATTAGTTTGTTGACAATTTCAGGAAATTATCGCTGTTGATTATGAGATTCATAATAAGTTCAGACTTATAGATTGTCAAGCAAATGGTAAAGATATGTACCACTGGTCCTTAAAGCATGGGTAGTGGGCACATGATACAGTATAATCAACTCAAGGTCCTCTTTCACAGTGTTTTTAAAATTTGACGTTGTTCTGCGCATGAAGTCACATGGTATTGTTTGTGTTCGCAGATGCTGAATCAGTCGGTGTCTCTCTTCATGTTCCTTCTCCAAATGAAATACAGAAATGATGGCGAAAAAGAGGGAAAATTAATTTGAAGGAATGGTAAACTCACGGGAGGCTCCGCAACTAGCAGCTTTAGAAGACAATAAGAGAGAACACACTTCACACTACACACAACACGTCTTGCAACAAC